GGGCTGTACTTTAAGGGGTTTTTAATGGCTCCAAATAGGCTTTTGAGGGTAGTTACCTATGTAATCAAGTGCTTTTATTGTATTACAGTTCTACTGTTTTATTTTTTACTTTAGTGAAAAGCCAAAACCACATGCATTTTACTACTCAACAAAAACCCTGATCAGTTTTGCTCATAGGCCATGAGTTATAGTATAATAGTTCTTTAGCTGTATAAAATTCACTTGACTCCAAAGAACTTCACTAATTAGTTCCTGTTGTGATTTCGCATGTTTGTTTCAGGTGAGTGACAACGATTCTGTCGACTTGACCAGATCTGGCTCCCCAGTTCATCACAGAAAAAGACATATGGAGTCATCAAAGTCCCCCAGAAGCTCCAAACACCACCATTCACGGTCAAGGTCACGCTCCAGGGACCGAAAACGTTAGTATTCAGTTCACAAATGGCACAAAAAAAATGTCACGTATGTTCGAGCTATAATACAAAATTGTGTTACATTCCCAGTTGAGAGGTAACCTAGACAAAAAAAGATTGGCAGCACAAAACAAAAACAATAAGCTAAAGTTTCTGATGATACCTAGTAGTGGTGGGCAATTTAGCCTCAACATTACCAAATTTGCTAAGAGTTAATCACACATGTGAAATCTGGTCTACTACCTGCAGAAAATACTTTACACACTGGCTTTGCCATATATTTGATCATCTTGTCAGACGAACAAATTCAATCTGAAATATGCTCTGCTTTTACAGGTGACAGAAAGTACAGACGCAGTCGCAGCAGGAGCAAAGAGGTAATTAATACTTTTGTTTCTATAGTTAGAAACGCATTTGATGTGATTTTAAGGACCCTAAGTTATATTCCTTGTTAGTTGTAAGTCAAGGTGAGTATGTTTTCTTAGGTTAAACAAATTATAATAGCCAAAATTAAGAAGAAGTGAAATAAATGGCGATGGCCTTGCTCACGTGGAAAGGGTCTTTTTTTTTTTTTTTTTTACCCTCGTTGTGCTCTGATTTCTCAAAGGAAGCTTTTGTCCTTGGTGATCTGTCATTGTTTGTAACCATTGTAAATGGTGAAGACTAGTTTTTCTCCTTTTTATTTTTTGTTAAATCCTGTGTGGAGATCACATGATAACATTTCTACAATAAATCATACTCAGCGTGCTAACGCACGAAGAGACTGAACAGAAGACCCTGCTGACATAGCAAAATAATATGCCTACTACTGGGACAGGTAACTATCTGCCATTCAAACTCCTCTTTGTCACACATTATGAGTAGAAAGTTGGATTAACTGTTGCATCTCTTGCAGCTGGGGATGGGCATAATTAATCTAATTAAACTGAAATTGAATCCAAACACGATCAAATGTGTGGGTGTAAGGAGTAAGTTGGATGACCGAACCTACATCAGCCCTTCAGCGGGCACAAACTAATTTGGTTTGCGCTCAGTTTTTGTCATCAAATTGGGGGGAAAAAAATCTCCTTAAAGTGTTTCCTCCTCCTAGCTTATTGAATAAAATGACGACTTGCTGGTTCCTGTTTGCCCACACTTACACTTCTCTAAGAATGACATTCTGTAATTTTTATGGAAGTGGGTTTGAAATGACAAGGTTTTATTCAGCTTGTCAATTTTATTACATACCTTATGGTCTAAGCCATGGTACTAACTCTTTTTGTTGCACTATTTTCCTGAAAGAGACAACTTCTTCTTAAAACAGGCACGAAAGAGGGACTCTGAGAAGCCATCAAAATCACACAGAAAAACAGATGAGCCGCAAGACCAAGAGAGACTTTCGGCAGAGAACGGAGAGGAACGTTCCAGGCGCAAGGACAGGAAGTCTTCAAAGGGCCGGAGCCTGTCCAGGTCACACTCCAGAGAGAGGTCAGTCTGCTCAGTAAAGTAAGACTGCAGCAGGTCTCCATACTTATGACAAAGAAAAATTGTTTAGAATTGCTGGCTGTAGCTTCTGGATGACCGGAGTCATTTATCAAACTTTGAGAAGAAAAACGTGCCAAGAAATACAGAAATGCCTGCATTTATTTCATGTCATTAATGTTGCTTTCAGACGGCATCACAGCAGAAGTAGGGACAAGCGGCGATCAAGATCACGCAGCCGGGACAAGAAGAAGAAGGCCAGGTCTCGCTCGGGTTCAAGGACCAAACATCGTCACCATAGCAGAAGTCGCAGTAAGAGCAGGTGGGCTCAGCTGAAATCGCGCCGTTTCTTATGCCGATGAAGGGCTTTTGAACTTTTGTCTTAGATTTTACATGTCATTAACCCTTTAAGACCAGTCGGAGCGGGCACGCTCTGTTTTGCGTAACTATTTTTAAATCCCTGTGGAACTGCATCTCAAAAAATAAAACTATGAAGATACTCAAAATAAATTTCCTGTGGTGGGAAACTATTTTGTGCCACTTTTTTGTATTTACAGTTTTGAGGGATAAACCTCTTAAATTTCTCTAAGTAGAAATATGTTTATTTAGAAATATGCCAAAAATGGCTCTACAGCATGTAAAAATATAAAGATAAGCTCTGGCGGACTTGGTTCTTTGCTAGGTCTTAAAGGGTTAAGAGTATGTTAGTTGCCTGACTTTGTTTTTGTTTTGTTTTTTATCTCCAGGGAGCATAAGAAAAGGACTGAAAAGGTGCGCAGGAAGAGCCGAAGCAGGACTCCTAGTCCACCCGCCTTCCGAGGCCGAAACACAGCCATGGATGCTCAAGAGGCCCTAGCAAGAAGGTAAGAGAACGGCTGACGGGAAATGTAGACCTTTGATGTTTGGCTTTAAACCTGTAATTAAAAAAATAGATTTAAAGCCCAGCCCAATAAGTAAGGCATTTGTTACTGAATCTCAGGTGCAAGTTTAATATCGCAGTACAGTACATTTGCATAATGACTGAAACCAGTCCACTGAAGGAGCAATGGGCTGGGAGGTCACTTCCTTAATCTTAATTATGCAAATTCTCAGTCATTTCAGTCATTATGCAAATGTACTGTTTATAAGATTGGGGAAACCTGCAGTCAGCTGAGACTGAAGAAGTCACTTGGATGAGTGACGAAACGTTTCTCCCACAAAACGCTACGTCCAGATGAACAGAATCAACTTTTTGGAGATTACTTCCCTGGATGATTGAGAACGCATCAAGACATCTATAAATAGTCTTAAATTCATTAAGTGAGACCAGCTCCTTAAGTTCCTGATGCAACCCCAAAGCCAATTGTGTCTCCTCCTGAGATTAAACTGGGAATCTATTATTTGTTAGGCAAATGGAGCCACTGGTTAAACACACTGGCCTTTTTGGTAGCATCAACACTCCCCTAGTGGTGTACAGTATGGCTCTAAGTTGGAAAAGTGTCCTGGTGTTTTTTTTTTTTTACCATTATGGTTTACGTGTAGGTCGAGATCTTTTGTTCATTTTAACCAAAATGCTCTCCACTCTTCTTTCCAGGCTGGAGAGAGCAAAGAAACTGCAGGAGCAGAAGGAGAAGGAAATGTTTGAGAAACAGCAGCAGCAACAACAGGAGATCGCAGCAGGTGAGAAGTGCTAACTGTGCACAAAGTAGAAACTTTAGCGCCTGAATCAATTCAATTTGATTTTTTTTAATTCAATTTGATTTATATAGTGCC